ATGTATATGTATATCTGTGCATGCGCATAGTGTTCACTTTTAAAAGCACACCTAACAATTGCTAACAATTTTGATTGTCTACCCCACAATCATAATGAAATCTCTTCATGTATGTTCCATTTAAAAATGAATCTGAGAAAGGAATCATAATGTGCTGCTGTAACAGTCAGCGTCCCAAACCAACACATACTTATCAGCTCTCAAGCCCATCACGGGATGACTGTGTGGAGCGCCCAGAGATGTGAGCACTGGCCGAGCTCTTGCCTGGAGGCCTTCCGGGGGCACTCAGACTGGTGGCAGAATCCAGTTCCTTGCAGTTGTAAGGCTGCTTGTCAGCCAGGACTCACTCCCGGCAGCTGTGATGCCTTTTACACATGCCCCTTTCCATCTTCAATCCAGCAAAGGTACGAAGAATCTTTGTTGTGATTCTGCTCTCTCTGATGTCCTCTTCTGGAGCCAGCCAGAGAAAATGTTCTTCTTCTAAAGGCCTGTAACGGTCACACCTGCCTATTCAGCTCATCTCCCTGCCTTTAAACAACTAATTAGCTTACCTTAGTCAATTAGCAAAATCCCTCTGCCAGGTAGAATGATAGGATCGTCAGGACCTGCACAGAGTCCCGCCGGCCTCATTTGCACTCACTCACTCACAGACCTTCGCTGTTACAAGGATTCAGCCTTTAGATTGCATAGCAATCTAAACAGGACACACCGTGTGGAACATGGCACATGAATCACCACACTGTGTTATATTTAAGTTAAATTGGATTTATTGTGAATGTGACATAAAGATGTTTATGGTACTGAAAACTTATAAATGTTTCAGGTCATGGAATATATAAAATGACAAGTTTTTAAGGACTACTATAAATAGTCATTTAGCTAGGAACTTTTAATTCTGTGACAGTGGGTTACATACCTCCTCAGTGTAGGCTGTTAATCATGTATACTTTGAAGAGACAATAGATGTCAGGCCTCATGTGCTCCCCTCTCCCTGGCCTTTTCATACTCTCGTCCAGACCCAGAGAGGTTCTGTGACTTAGAAGTGCATACAACCACCTAGTTAGTAGCCAAGACTCGGCAGAATGCCGACCCTCTTCCCTATCTGGAACCTAGAACCCTGCCTTGGTTGAAGCCCTTCCAAGCTCTGTAAATGTTCATTTACCTTAACCCTCACCAACATCCTGCTTATTGTGTTATTGTCTCAAAGTCTGAAAACATAGCCCCAAGGCGTGACATGTTCAGTGCTGTACAAATTGTTAAGCGTAGAGAAGCAATTTGACACCAGGGCTGACTGGTTTGAAGCTCCGATTCTTCCTAGTCCACCAGACTCCTTCTCAAGGGGCTTCTTTGTATCATCTCACAGTCAACTGCACAACTACCCAGGCAGTTAATTATATTCTAACAGGAAATTAATGAATAGCAGAGAGCTCAGAGTCTGACACCTGCATACATATTCTGGTCCTGTCACTTGCTGTGTGGCTTTAGGGAACCTTGTGGTGAGCTGGGCCCTCTGACGCTTTGTGTGTTAAAAGTGAGGATTTTCAAAATTATGAAGAGGATATGTGAATAAAGTTATCACAGATAAGAGAATTGCATTCCTCCCCTGGTTTTTGAATGCTGTTATTCTTAGCCAAGTGGTGTCTGGTTCTCATCACCCACTAACAGCATATTTTGAAGTCATTGTTCTTTGATAGTGTCAGATTAAATAGAAAACAATAGACTTTGGAATTGCTGAGGCTGTGTCCCAAGGTCTTCATAAACCTTGGTTCCTTCCTAGGTCACACGCCATTTCCCTGTATGTATCTAGATCCTCATCCCACATCTCAGAGGCACTGAAACATGTCACAGGTGGTGACAGTTGTTCACTTGGGGCAGTGCTAAAGATAGGAATATTAAAGCAGGGACTCAGCTGTCCCACAGACTCACTCCTATCAGTCTCCTGTCCTGTTGATTTCGGAGGGGGAAAACATACTACTTTGTGATCTGGAGATCACTCTGAAATAAAATATTAGGGACTGGGAAGATGGATCACAGGGTAAAGGGCTTGCTACACAAGAGTGAGAACTGGAATTTGGATCCTAGGCATGGAGAAACGTAAATGTCAGGGAAGGCACGGATCTGCCTGCAATTATATGCTACATGTAATTAGAGCTTCATGATGGCTAATCGTCAGCTGAGAGGCTCTGTGTCAGTGAGGAAGATGGAATGCAGCAGAGGAAGACTACCTAGATTAGCCTCAGGCTGCCACATGTATGCGCAACTACACACGTGTCCATACATATGCAATCATGCACATACATGCCTGCACCACATAGACACACATACAAGTGGTATAACATTACATTGATGAATAGATCAGTCAACTTTGACACCTCATCTTCTTAAAAATACTCTCTTAATGCATGTGTATATTTGTTTTTCTATACCATCTGAAGATAAATTGCAGATAATAGATGATTTTGCATCCAAATGTTTAACACATATCTCCTTAATAGTAAGGAAATTATAATATGTATCATAATCCACCTAAAAGTTTACCAGCTTCTTCATCTCATCTAATATCCAATCTGTATTCAAATTTTCCCTACTTGTCCTAAAATTAGCTAGATAGGACTTTGTTTAAAATGAGTTATTTCACTTTGGTTTTACTAACAAGGCAAAGTCCATACACCCAAGGTCACTGTCTTGATTACATCTTCCTGCTGTCTTTTTAAATTTATTTTTATTAATTACAGTTTAGTCACTTTGTATCCCTCTGTAGCTCCCTCCCTCCTCCCCTCCTGATCCCACCCTCCCTCCTCCTTCCCCACCCATGCCCCTCTCTTAAGTCCACTGATAGGGGAGGTCTTCCTCTCCTTCCTTCTGATCCTAGCCTACCAGGTCTCATCAGGACTGGCTGCATTGACTTCCTCTGTGGCCTGGTAAGGCTGCTCCCCCCTCAGGGGGAGGTGATCAAAGAACAGGCCAATCAGTTCATGTCAAAGACAGTCCCTGTCCCCGTTACTGTGGAAGCCACTTGGACACTGAACTGCCATGTGCTACCTCTGTTCCTTGCTGTCTCTTAAGTTAGCAGGTTACCTGACCTGGTTTGCTTGTTTTTGTGGTGGTACCTTGTGAGGAGACTGGGCCAATTGTCTTGAATAATATCCCACAACCGAGTTTCCTCTAGCTTCATCATATGTGCATGTTCTGTGTCTTATTACCTTCTGTGTTTTTGAAAAACTGGAAGACTCGATTAGAAACAGGTTATACATTTTTTGTCCAGAACAACTTGATAGGTGATTCTGTATGCTTTATATCAAGAGGGGTATAAGGTGTATACAACTATCCCCATTTTTCAGTTACCAATGACTTAATTAAGATAGTGGTGGTTCCATCTTCCATGTTGAAGGATCCGTTTCTTCCCTTAACAATTAGAATTAATTTGTGGACTGATTTGTTTGGTTCATACATCTTTTTCATGGTGTAACTTTTCACGGTAGCCTCCACTGGTGAGCCCTGCTGAAGTCACTTATTCCACTGGCGGCTTTTTTAAGGTTATTTCTAGTCGAGTGTTTTAAAGTGCAACAAATATGAGAAGGTTGGTGAAAAGAATCGCATCCTGTCAATAGACCAACATTCTTCTACGATAAAGAACTTTCCTGCATTGGTACAGGAAGCCTTATGTTTTCTTACCATTGATAAGTATAACATGTTTGCTACTCATCCAAAACAGCAGCTTTTGATTAGCTGGAGATCAGTTATAATGTGTATTTGTGTCTATTATAAAGCATTTTAATATGTACCAAAGCTGGAAATGAGAAATGAGTGAAATTTAAAGCAGTGTTTCAAAGCAAAGCAAATATAAGAAGCTTGGTGAAAGATTCTCATCACGTCAGTAGCACCAACAGCGTTTAAAAGAACTTGGTAGTACCTTCTGCTGAAAGAGCATGTCCTATGGCTGTTTATCTCCAAATGCTAATGGCGTTTATGTAGTCAGTGTGAAGAAAAATGTAAGCCTGCCAAGAAGCAAATGAATAGACCTTCCAAATTCCAACAAGCTGGGCTCTTCACGATGTGGCTCTTCAAGCACACCCCACTTCCCACCACTCCTTCACATGCTCTGTGTGGCGCTTCCTTTTCTGCACATGGTCACTCCCGGTTTTGCTCTTTTGTCTTGCCCAAGACACAGTGTTCTTTTTCTGTAGTCCCAGTTGGCCCATTTTTCAAGCCCAGCTCAAATCCTACTCCCTCCCTGAAGCTCAGGTCTCTCCAGACAGCGTGGCTTTGCTCTGCCATGCACGCAGTTGGCTGTCCTCAGCTCTGCTCCCTTGGTGGCCCTCTGTGGGAAACTTCACTAGGTGCAAACACATTGGAGCTCACTGTCCAAGGCCAAGAACTTAAACAATCCTTCACTTATACTTCAGGAACTTTACATTACACAATCGTCTGGAAGTTATCAACAGATGAACACTGGCCGTCAAGTAGGGCTATCCCTTTTGTATAGCTTTCTTTCTTTTTCATATCCACTGCCCTAAAAATCTTTTGTAGGAGGTAAAGCTAAAAATTGAGTATCCCTCAGCATGTGGTTCTTTGTAAGTAATACAAAGGCCTGTTTCTTTCATTAAGACTAAAGGAATGGGCGGGGGGGGGGGGGGGCGGGGGCGTAGGTATGAATTAATTTTACATTTGAATTACAATGAAAAACCAAATGAAGAGGTATAAGTTGATCTGATAAAGTATTACAGTAAAAGCAAGCTTATTTTTTTTATTCTTGGATTGAAACTTTTTGTTTCCTGTGTGAATGGTTTGAACACTCAAGTGGAAATAAATGGTAGGACTTTGTGCTGCTCACTCAGGAGACCTTGTTTCGGAAGGTTTAAAATCCCTTTTTGTGTGGCATTGAGAACTCTGCCCCTGTGCAGTTGTTCACATTGGCAGTCTCTGGGTGCTGGCTGTCCTGTCCTGTAAAAAGGCAGTGGTGACAAAACTGTGATGCCTTTGAATTTCTGTCTCTGCAGAAGCGGGAGGTAAAAAGTTAAGGAGCACTGTTCAGAGAAGCACGGAAACTGGGTTGGCAGTGGAGATGAGGAATTGGATGACGCGGCAGGCCAGCCGGGAATCCACGGATGGCAGCATGAACAGCTACAGCTCGGAGGGAAAGTGAGTGGGGCCCCAACCACATAGACCTCTTTCTGCTCACACAAGAGCTAACTCTGGGACTCATGGTCCATTTCCATCCTCTCTGGCTGATTCCTGTGAATTTGTTTCACCCTCCACTGAGCTGTTGACATGTCTGGCATTTTATTTTGAATGAAATAACTCGGGGGAGATAAAGTGCTTTACCTCTATGACAAGATGCTAAGGTGTGGCTCTCAACCTACAAATAAAATAGTTTATCCTAGCTTAAAATAATAAATAAAACCACAGGGATATATACCATGTGGGCAGTATTAGTTTCTGAAATCTCTGATCTGGGGCTGGAGAGATGGCTCAGAGGTTCAGAGCACTGATTGCAGCTTTTCCAAAGAATGCGTTTGATCCCCAGTTCCCACATAGTGGCTCACAGCTGTAACTACAGTTCTAGATGAGATGCTCTCTGCTGACTCCCACAGGCTCTGCCTGCACATGGTGGAGAGACAAGTGCATGGGGAAAAAAGAACACCCAATCACAAAAGAATTTAAAAAGAGTTTTAATGTAAAAAATCTTTGATATGTTGAAGAGATGCTATTGAAAATTTTAGAATTCTTATTTATATTTGGTTTTATACACTGAAAGTTATATAATTTAATGCCGTGAAACAACAGCCAAAAGGCAATAGCAACAAAAAGCTGGTAAACCTTTTTCTCTGTATGGCTTTACTTTGAACACTACCATGAGACACTTGGAAAGGTTTATGAGCATGGGGTAGGTCTGTCTCAAACAGTGTACTTAGTGAAAGCATCTCGGGAGAGGAAAGTGACCTAGGCGCAACCTGCCATTGTCACGGAAGTGTGCCATGTTCAGACACTGTGGCCAGCTTACAGATGCGAGACCGCCAGGACTTTCGGCTTACCGTTAATCACATAAGCTAATGACATTTTGTCCAACATGATTATATAAGTAAAGGAGAGGAACAGAATCGTGTGGTTTTTAAATAGGGTTCTATAAACAGGTGGAATTTGTGAGACTTGAGGTGAAGAGGAAAAAACCTAGATTTGCTGATCTTCAAGGAAGTTCAAAGGAGTGAAGGGCAGGCATGCAGTGCCTCAGTGCAGCATGCTAAAGAAATGTGTTCTTTTTGAAGGAAGAGTGAAGATAAATGTGCTGTGAGCTCTGGTCTTTGTGAATCATTGCCTGGACTGTAAAAGTGTTTACCTCATGGTTCCCACATACAAGTTTATGATCTTATTATAAAGCTGCTGGGGATATAAAAATGTTTCAAGTATGACTTCCATTTCAGATGTTTACCATCTTATTGAAGAAATGCCATGAACACTCATAAATTCATTCAACAAATATTACTTCTTAGTGTTTCAGACAGTGTGCTGTGAGTTGGAGGTGTAAATCACGCAAGCGAATCAAATCAGAACTTAAGATAGTGGGCTTCAGAATCATGGGAACCAAGTTAGCAAGGGGAGATCAAGGTTCTTTTCTTTGTTTCTGGCACTTTAGTTTTTGGGTAAATCACATACCATTCCTAACATGAAGGATTATCGTCAGTACTCTAGGCTTGGCCTTAAGAACTGAAGGTTGAGCACCAAACAAAAGAGGCAAAACCCATCTCCATCCAGGCCAAAAGACAAGATAGACTTCATAAAAAATTAAATTTATAAGGAAACTAACAAATGTATGGTAAATTGGGTAACCTAAGTGCTGAGGATAAAATAAGGCATGGAAAAATGAGAGAGGTTCAACTAAATATCTCTTAAGACCTTATTTCAGTACTTTTCATCTCTTCTATGCATAGCCCATCTCTGAAGAAATGAACCTACGTACTTCCTTAGCTTTTATTTTAATTTTTATTACCCTTAATTTTATTACTGTGTGTACATGTGTGAGAGAAAGAGACAGAAAGACAGAGAGGAATGAGAACGTCATGCTCTGGCATGTATGTGCAGATCAGAGAACAAGTTGCTGGAGTCCATTCTCATCTTTGGCCATGCAACCCCTGGAGATTGAACTGAACCTTCAGGTTTGCTGGCAAGAGCCTTTCCCCACTGAGCCCTCCTGTTGGTTCACTTTCTTAGAGTTTATGAAGAGCTTACATGATGAATGCATTTCAGCTGTGTCTGGGCCACAATATCCAAACCATTACCAGACATAGTAACAATGACTTTGAAAATAAATGAGAGGATGAGGGTAGGATTTCCCATAAGGGAGACAAACAGCATGTGTAACTATGCCCCGGAGGCAGCTGTGTTTGAGGAGGGACATTCCAAGCTGAAGCAGAGCTGAGCACTATACAGAGAGTTTGCCTACAGCAGTGGGCTGTGGCCTGTGGAAGGAAGGGACAGTGTAATGAGAGACAAGGGTGTGGGGTGAGGGTGAATGAGTTTGTATGTTTTATAACATAGAAGATTTTACTCTAACATGAGTGGAGTGGCTTTAACTTCATCAAATCACTCTGACTGCTGATGGGTACAAGAGGGAAGCCATTCAGTAGGTGTTAGGGTAATGCAGCAGAAACATAATGGTGACTTGGTCCAGAATGGTAACGTTAGTGAGCTCACATTGTCCATCTTTTTTGACACTAGACCATTGGATATGTGATAAGATACATGATAGCTATGTAGCTGAAACAAACAAAAAAATGTTTTCCCAAAATTTAGAGGCTGAAAATTCAAGATGAAGATATTAATGGATTTGGATTACAAGAAGTTCTCTCTCTTACTCCTGGGCATCTTACATCTTCTGCAGCCTTTTCCTCCATATTCCAAGTGTTCTTTTACTTCCTCATTCATTGACATTATCCCTACCCCCACAACCCCTTGTGACTTAATGTAACCTTCATTGATGTATATCTGTGCTGTGGGACATTTTTTTAAACACAGGCACGCTGTGGGTTAGGACTTCCGCATGACAGATGAAAGATGAGTGCACAGCTGAGCAATTGAAAGACAGTATTTGAAAGATAGCATTTTCTGAAGTGTGTGTTTGTGTGTGTGTCTGTCTGTCTTTGGTGAGATTTCAGTTTATCAGTTTGGGACAGGTTAACTTTCAGATGCTCAGTAGATATCTTATTAGCCAACTAAGCTGTTGGAATGAAAGCCTAGCCCAGGGCACAAGGCTGAGCCAGGGAAGCTCTGTGCCAGCCAGTATTTCACAGACTCAAACACCTGGAAAAATAAGAGGTAAAAGATGGAGTTTGCGTGTTTTGTGACACAGCTGGCAGAGAGAAAGACATAATGGCAAGAGAGAGAAAGAGGGATCCCAGAGTCTCCAGGAAGTGATATGGAAAGATTTCTCAGGGAACAGGGGCAGGTTAATTGTGCTCATCTGCTCACTTCCATGAGGACAGAACAGTGACCGCAGAATTTACTACTGAAGTCATTGGCTGACTTTTGACTAGAGAAATTTGGGGATTTTGAAACAAGCATTTGATTAGAGTTTTAAAATAAAAAAAAATAAAAAAGAGGGGGAGTGAAGCACCCTGCAAGGGTGCAGGAAGAAGTGGGGTGTGGGCTGCAGGAAGAGTGCAGTCAGAAGGGCTGTGTTTTCTAAGATGACATGGCAGTATGGTGGCATGCCGACGGGGATGATCCAGACGTGATTTCACCTGTAAAAAGAAAAATAATAGAAGTTATCTAAGAGCATTAAACATGGCAAAGCATGCTTCGGAATAAGTGCTCAGTGTGGACTGAGCATGCGTGACAGAAATGATCTCTCCTGCCCCCTCTCCCCTAGACCAAGCAAGGGAAGACACATGAGCAGAAGCCTGCTTGGTGTGGCAGGTGCATGGGAGGCTGTAGAATGTAAGATGGACTGAGAATTATGGGATGTGGTGTGGGATTGGTGGAGTCTGATAAATGTCAGCGGCATCTTAGCCCCACCACACCAGTGAGGCCAGCAGGGAACTCAGGCTTGCTTGAAAGCAAAGAAGGTTGAGGATTTAATCACATATGTCATTTTGCCTTCAGTCTGATTTTCCCTGGTGTCCGCCTGGCCTCTGACAGCCAGTTCAGCGATTTCCTTGATGGCCTGGGCCCTGCTCAGCTAGTGGGACGCCAGACACTGGCTACTCCTGCAATGGGTAAGAATTTCTGTCTCGTGTTTTCATTTTTGTCCTTTAGACTATTGAAAATAATGTTTCCCCCAATTTCATGCTATTTTTAAACAGGATTACTAGCAAGAATAAAGAGTTCTAGATTTTAACAGTAGATGTTCTTAGTGTTTTCTTTTGTAATGTCTGGTCATTTTTAAAGGAAGGCATCAGTGAAAACATTGACATCTTAGAGAATTTATCTTGGGACTTAATACATCTGGGGAATGTCTTTGGCACAAGCATTTTTCCTAACTCTTATTGTCTTCGCTCTGTGCCACCAGGTGACATTCAAGTGGGAATGATGGACAAAAAGGGACAGTTGGAGGTAGAAATCATTCGAGCTCGCGGCCTTGTTGTAAAACCAGGTTCCAAGACACTGCCAGGTAAAACAGAAGATATTTTTCTGTTCTTCCTCATGATCTATGTTGTTTCGATATAAAGGTTATCTTTGCTGAAATCTTTTTGATCAGGATGGGAGTGGATAACTCCATTGTTGTGCTGCTCGGGGATGGAAGCAGTTTGCATGTGAGCCAGGGGTCTGGGAGGGAGCATGCATAGCTGAGACCTCCATCTCTGACTTAGCCGCGCTATCACAGTTTGTGCACTAGCAGTGTGTCTTCCAGTTAGCTGTGGTTTTATGTCATCCCTTCGGTTCACCTGGGCCTTCAGTATTTATTTTAGTCCTCCTTCAAGTTCAGGAATTAGAAAAAGAATAGATTAAATCCATCCCGCTCCATAAGCCTATGAGTGCTGGCTGCTCTAAGGCGACTGTTCGTTCCTGCAGTATGTAGGAGGCTCTGCCATCACTGGATGCCACATGTTTCAGCGGGAAGCATCCCAAGAAGTAGTTTGGCTCAGACTTTAACTGTGTTGTGCAGTGATCAGTAGATCCAGTACATCAAGCTGTGAATTCTTAAAATATCCCTATCCCCAGCACCTGTACTGACTTAAGATTTTGCATTTCTCTCTCAAGTCCTCAATCCTTGAAGGAGTTTTGTAATAAAGTGTGTGTTACTGACTGCATCACTTTGGAATTGTACTGTAGTTGACTCCTTCACCATATTAACAGCATGTGACATGTGGGAATAATGGTTTTCATAAAGTGTCTATCATATAAGGTTGTAGTCATAGAATGTCTGGTGAGCTCCTTCTCAGTTACTTTGGAACTTACACCATCACCAGTTAATAAATGTCTTTGCATGATAAAGGAGCTACATGAGTGGGTGAATAAAATAGCCTCATTTCTCACATTTAATGAGATCAAAATTTTGGTAATTTAAAGACTAAGACATTGCTCTTGAATCTTGTTAGTGACTGGAAGCATTGTACCTTATTTCATTCAACATTTAATCTATACACGAAGATGGGGGGGGGGAAGACCCTCAAAGGCTATGTCAGCATACTTAATCAGAATGGATGACAAGTGTCCACTCTGGTGTTGAGTAGAAGGCAGGCCAGTGGCTAGAGCGCCACCAGCCCTTCAGTGACAATGAGGTTGTTCTTGTCCCCATGAAGTGGGCATTTCTTAGCCATGGTCATTACTTGCTCTGTTTTCTCTCCCAAGCACCGTATGTCAAGGTGTATCTTTTAGACAATGGAGTCTGCATAGCCAAAAAGAAAACCAAGGTGGCAAGAAAGACGCTGGAGCCCCTGTATCAGCAGCTCTTATCTTTTGAAGAGAGCCCCCAGGGAAAGGTGTTACAGGTGCGTACTCACTTTGACCTGTGACTTAGGAAAGGACTTTCATGAGGCCAGACCTTAGGTAGCCTGTCTCTTCTGTTGAATCCTTTTCTGTTCCTCACAGCTGAGAGTCTCTGTCAGCAAAGCAGTGGCCAGTACTGGAAAGCTGTGCTGGTTGCTATTCCCCTTATAGGAGAATTCGCCATAGACTTGTGAATGTGGGTTACACACCAGCTCAGTTTCCCCGTGTGGCTTCAGACCATAACAATAATGTGCAGTTTTCCCCAATGTAACCTGGCTTCTGGGAGGTAAAGGCAATATTGCCATTAATCAGACACCTCTACTTAACTGGACCCTTGGCCTCAGCATATCAGCTGAACTTGTTTTTCTGTTTTAGTTATGGCTTGCTCATCTGCTGTGATACGCATATCTATATTAATGTTACTTATATTTTGCCAACAGATCATTGTCTGGGGAGACTATGGTCGCATGGATCACAAATCCTTTATGGGAGTGGCCCAGATACTCTTAGACGAACTGGAACTATCCAACATGGTGATTGGATGGTTCAAACTCTTCCCTCCTTCCTCCCTAGTAGATCCAACCTTGGCACCTCTGACAAGAAGGGCTTCCCAGTCTTCTCTGGAAAGCTCTACCGGACCTTCTTACTCTCGCTCATAGCAACTATAAAACTGTTGTCACAACAACCAGCGATACAAAAACAGAAGAAAATGCACAGGTTGAAACCCCTGGTAACACTGCATGCTTGATGTTGCGTCTTCGGAGCCCACGTCTAGGGATACAAAGTGATCCTGTGTTCTCAGAGGAAGTCCTGCACATGGTGCCCTAGCAGAGGCCCTCGGGTGAAAGGGCAGAGCTGTGAAGAACTGTCAGGTTTAGAGTTCAGTGACGCTCGAGTTTTGGTCCAATCTGAAGCCATGGATTAATCTCAAAGAATCAGTCAGCCCTTTTCAATGGCACCTTTATATTTTTATCAGTTTTCTTCATTTATCTGACCCCCAAGCCCTGTTATGCCACAGAAATGGAGCTCTACAGCCACTAAGCCACACTACAGGCCACGGATCAAAGTCCTAGGAAGCATCAGGTGAAAAGCAAGAGACCAAAGAAGTGGTTGGGAGCAGGGTCGGCCACGGCTCCTGGAGGGGCTGCAGCAGCAGGGAGAGGGGTAGACTGGGCTGCTCCAGGAAGAATGCCACTCACTAAGGCCAAGATGTGTCGGACTCACAAAATCAAAATTCTGTGACTGCACTGTACTGAATGAAATTAAAGAAACTTTTTCTGCATGGACACAGATTAGCTGAATATTTAAATTATTTTCTCGGGGCTGCAACTTGCAAAAAAAAAAAAAAAAGAATAAAAATCAGCCATTTTCAACAATTTATATTATTTTTAAAAATAAATTTCACTAGTGCATGGTTTTAAAATGGGAGAGAATGCAACAGGGTGATACAAAGACACACCATGTTTATTCTTTAATCATAGTCTGTGTTTTGGCAGACATTACAAAGGAAAATACTTTCTAGAAGATACTTAAAATTCTCTTTATGTGACAATAAGTATAATATATTCAATTTATTTCCACGTTAAATATACAGATCTTATGAAGTTCAATATGTGCAAATTTTTCACATCTTCCTCTTTTCTCTCTTATTTTTCTTCTCCCACTTTTAACTGTTTCTTTCCTTTCTCCCTTCCTGAGTGAACCTTCTACTAAAACACAAGTCTTTGACCTGACCCTCTTATAGCCCTTATTTGATTCAGAGCCACCGATGCATCTGAATTTATGGATTTCTCAAATTTGTTCGAGAGCTTTCTTTATTTCAAGCATGTTGAAATGATTTTGCAACATGACTTGGGACACACAGCAAGTCAGCACGTATTTGACAAAGAAGATATTTGAACATTTGCAGTTTCTTGTACAGTGCATGGTAATTTTTTTCACCTTAAAAATTCAGTTTACAGGAAAATCCTAAAATCATGTGGCATTGTAATGTCTAATAAATTTGTTTTTAGCACCAGCATTATTCATACAGGGGGTTAAGTATTATTTGTAGGTCTTAGGTTTTGTTTGTTTTTTAATTCGTTAAAGCAGTTTCTTTAGCTGATTTCCATTTACTATGTGAATAGAAACACTGCTAAATATGTGGAGCCCTGAAACACAGGGCTGTTTATTAATTCATTTTTCTGTAGTAAAACTCAATTTTTCACAAATTATATTTCTAAAGAAATATAGTAAACATAAATTTGCAACAATTTTAAAGCTCCAATTTTTAGGTGACTCGAGGAAAGTCAGTATGCCTCTTACTAGTTATTTGATGCCATCACCAAAAGTCTACATGCAAACCCCTCAAGTCAAAACCCCACCTTTGGTTTACGGGCAGTTCCTCCCATTGGGTGGTGCTGCAAGGTCCAATTTCTCTCAAGGCCCCTAATCACAGGAAATGTCACTGGTCAAGGTAGTAAACCATCCATCTTTTTGTTTCTTACATGTGCTTTGATTATACATCCTCAAAGATTGGTTTTAACTTCCTGCAATAATTTTTTAAATCCATCTACATCACATTTGTTTAAATGGAGGCCATGCACAAAATATATTTTTTTTCTTTGTTTCTCTTTTTTTATTCAGTGCTGACCATTGAAAACTGTCATGCTTGATATGGTGCAAAAGTTAAAATGAGTTACCACTCAAAATGCCTTCTCTTTATGTGGTGCAAAATGAACTACACTGAGATTGTGTCTTGATTTTCTGAGACCAATGATGGACCCAGGTGAAGGTGTGAAGAAGGAACACAATTTTATTGAAATAATTTAGACACCTGTGTACCAGCAGCAGTTTGGTTTGATAGACCCATAGTGTCTATGCTGTCCCTTAGAACAGACGTTTACTGTTTTCCTGACACTAAAATGCAGTCACGTAATCTTTTCTGCATATTCCTATACAAATTCTTTCTAATTTTAATAAGAAGGACATGACTGTGGAATATTTGTACATACTTGTCATTATGCAGTATTTATTTAACAGTTGGTGTACTTTTTTTTTCAATTTTCACATGTCTGCACCTCAACTTGTGGTTAAGTCATGTAAATAGCACTATGCCAGTGACCGTTGCTGCCCTGTACATAGAATGTTTTCAAGTAAAGGGAATTCCAGTGGGGAAAATGGGGGGGAGGGCAGATTAGTCCTGTAACAAACACTGACTGCTGTAAATCACATTCATTCTGGTGATGGTATTTAACACTTTAAATAAAACATTTTCTTTACATCTGTTGTTCATGGTGCTTTCTTTTTTTTTGTTGTTTTTGTTTGTTTGTTTGGTCTTTGTTTTGTTTTCCTTCTCACTTTTTTTTTCTTTATTAATTACACTTTATTCACTTTGTATCCCCCCTGTGGTTCCCTCCCTCCTCCCGTCCCAATCCCTCCCTTCCTCCACCCTCTGCATGCTGCACAGATGTAGCCCATGGCAGTTCAGTATCCAAGTGGGTTCCACTGTAATAAGAACAGGGACTGTCTCTGACATGAACTGATTGGCCTGATCTTTAATTACCTCCCCCTGAGGGGGAAGCAGCCTTACCAGGCCGCAAAAGAAGACACTGCAGCCACTCCTGATGAGACCTAATTGACTAGGTTCAGAAGGAAGGAAAAGAAGTCCTCCCCTATCAGTGGACTTGGGGAGGGGCAAGCATGGTGCTTTCTAAGATGTCTTCACTTATGTCTCCACGGCTACCTCCATTCATCCAGTGAACTGGCTTGCTTGTCATTTCCAGGGGACAGTGCCTCTACCCACCTTCCTTATGACATGAATGGGTTTCCAGTTTTACCACATTGCTGTTAGTAGGATGTAGCTATCAAGTCTGCTCTTAGATTAAGAGTTGCTATGGTGCTTTCCAATGACTCAGCAGCTTGTAGATTGTAGATTGTATGAACAGATTAGATGAGATTTCAGAGTCTGCCCTGAGGATAACTGACAGCAGGGACACTGTTTCTTAGTCACTGTTCTGTTGCTGTGAAAAGACACCATGACCAAGGCAACTTATAGAAGGAAGCTTTTAATTAGAAGCTTGTTTACAGTTTCAGACCTTTAGTCCATTGTCACCAGGATGGGGATCTTGGTGGCATGCACGCAGTAGCTGAGCAGGAATCTGATCCGTAGGCAGAGAGAAGGAGAGCAAGACATGCTTGGCCTAGTGTGAGCTTTTGAAACCTCAAAGCCTGTTCCCAGTAGCACATCTCCAACAAGGCCTCACCTCCTAATTCTTCCCAAACAATTCCACTAACTGGGGACTAAGCATTCAAAACTATAAACCTGTGGGGGCCTTCTCATTCAAGCCGCCAGTCTGAGTGTGGTGGCCCCTGGGTCAAGATGGCAAACCAACTTATTGTACTGATGCATTTCTGCTGCAAACTCTATCCAGCTTTGGGAGGGGCAGGGAGTTATTTCCAGTTGCACAGACACATGTGGGAGCTTGACCTAACAGTCTGTTCAAAGACTGGCTTATGCTGTATGAGTGAGTGTAAGTGGGTGAGACAGTTGCCACATCCTTCTGAGGCACTTCTTCAGACCCCAAACAAGAGAGCCCCAGAAGATTTTCCATTGGGTTTTCCACAGGCTTTGAAGTCAAGTGCTAGTTGAGATTCATATTCAGTGATAGTATTTCTGTCTCTATTCTTGATCATAACTATTTCCCCTATTACCAATGATTCTCCCAGCTCTCCACCTATCCAATACTGCTTTTCACTATTCAAAGTTCACCTCCTACCCTAGGAAGATGTTCCTCTTGCTATCTGGGAACTCCTTTTATAAAGTCCTTAGAGTTCCTTATGTGTTCTCTTCTGAAGCCTTCACTGTTCTCAAAACTCATCAGTCTTGCTCCTTTTTGCAACTCCCAGGAAAAGTTCCCAACTAAATTCTTGTAGCATGATTGCCATTGATGGTAAGGTCTTTGCATAAGCAGGAATCTGAAGCCAAGGTTCCACAACCAACAACAAAGGTCATGATGGTCACTCTTGCCTAGGCTAAGAAGTCAGTCACCAAGGATAATCTTCACCCCACAGTACACTTGAAAATCATGTGCTCTTCATGTTTGCCCCCACTGGGTTGTCTTGTGAGGCCCTGTCTATCTAGTATTTATGAGTGACAGAGCTAGAGAGCACATATCCACTTCTGTCTTGTGAGATGTTTATTGAATAATAGCATGGGAGATGAAGGTTTGGCAATGACTGGACAGTTGCCCTCTTAGAACAGCCAGCAAGCACATAATGATGGAACAAACAAAAAGTGTTCCACTCAAACTCTGTCACACTCTGTGTGGCACACTCAAAGCACTGGTGACCACTGGCATTCAGGTCCTCTTGGTGGAAGTAGAGAGATGACCCACTACTCTTCTGTCTTAAATCAAAATTTTGACCAGCAGGCAAGATTTTACATTGTGGGGGCACACACGATTCTTGTTTCTGTTTGTGGTTTCTACAGTGTTAAGAACAATGTTTGCATATATGTGTTTAATAAATGTCTAACAAACTAATTTAATTTACTCCTTACTTCATTTAGAGGCATCATTCAAAGCAGAACAGTGAACAAAACAAATATGGCTGCCCTCAGGGTAGCTTTCATTTTGCTAAACACAACCCTAGGGGAAGAATTCCAAATGTAATTCTAACATTTCTAATGTGAAATCTCTGGATTCTTGTGGAGTTAGGGGTGGCTGGTGTCTGCCAACGGATTAAATAGGCTGAAGACAGAGACAGTGGTAAGCTAGAGATGAAAATATTCTAAGCAAAGAGAAAAGTGGGTGAGAAATCTGGGGGAGTCTCACTTTACCACCCCCATCTTTCCTACAGTGTCTAAAACAGTGATGTTCAAAAGTACTTGTGAGGGGGGGAACAAATTAATGAATTAATGACCCAACAAAATTAATTAAGCTTCTTTACTTTGGATTATTCCTGAATTAATAAAGAATTGGTATTTGAAAAGCTAGGTTTTAAAAATATTAATTTAATTTTTTAAAGAAATAAAACATTTGACCTATTTTTTATTTACAATTTATTATAGTTTATTCACTTCCTATCCCAGCTGTAGCCCCCTCCCTCATCCTCTCCCAATCCCATTCTCCCTCCCTCTTCTATGCCCTCCCCTAGTTCACTGATAGGGGAGGTCCTCCTCCCCTTCCCTCTTCCCTTTGACCCTAGCCTATCAGATCTCATCAGGACTGTCTGCATTGTCTTCCTCTGTGGCCTAGTAAGATTGCTCCCCCATCAGGGGAAGGTAATCAAAGAGCCAGTCACTGAGTTCATGTCAGAGACAGTCTCTGATCCTCTTACTAAGGAACCCACTTGGAGACTGAGCTGCCATGGGCTACATCTGTGCAGGGGTTCTAGGGTATCTCCACGCATGGTACTTGGTTGGGGTCTCAGTATCAGAAAAGGTCACTGGGCCCAGTTTTTTTGGCTCTGTTGGTCTTGTGGAGCTCCTGTCCCCTTCAGGTCTTTCTATTTCCCCCTTCTTCCATAAGATTCCCTGCACTCTGCCCAAAGTTTGGCTATGAATATCAGCATCTGCTTCAATACCCTGATGGGTAGAGTCTTTCAGGGGCCCCCTGTGGAAGGCTCCTGTTCTGTTCCTTGTTTTCTCCCTCTTCCAATGTCTATCCTGTTTGCCCTTATGAATGAGAATTAAGCATCTCACCCATCTCACTCATCTCACTTAATTAATTGTCCTCCTTGTTTAGCTTCTTTAGGACTGTAGATTTTAATATGTTTATCCTATATTGTATGTCTAATACCGTATGTGTCTTTCTGCTTCTGGGATACCTCACTCAGGATGATCTTTTTTCTAGTTCCATCCGTTTGTCTGCAAATTTCATGATTTTCTTGTTTTTAATAGCTGAGTAGTATTCCACTGTGTAAATGTACCACAGCCCCTGTATCCATTCTTCCGTTGAGGGACATCTACATTGTTTCCAGATTATGACTATTATGAATGAAGCTGCTACGAACATAGTTGAGCAAATATGCTTGCTGTATGACAATTAAGCATATTTTAGATATATGCCCAGGAGTGGTATAGCTGGATCTTAAGGTAGCACTATTCCTAATTGTCTGAGGAAGCACAAGAGGTATTTCCAAAGTGGTTGTACAAGTTTACATTCCCACCAGCAATGGAAAAGGGTTCCCCTTTCTCCACATCCTCTCCAGCCTGTGTCATCCCTTGAGTTTTTGATCTTAGCCTTTCTGATGGGTGTGAGGTGAAATCTCAGGGTCATTTTGATTTGCATTTCCCTGATGACTAAGGATGCTGATCATTTCTTTAAGTGTTTCTCTGCCATTCAGTATTCCTCTGTGGGAATTCTCTATCTAGCTCTGTGCCTCCCTTTTCAATTGTATTACTTGATTTGTTGATGTTTCACTTCTTGAGTTCTTTATATATTCTGGATATTAGTCCTCTGTCAGATATAGGGTTGGTGAAGATCCTTACCTAGTCTGTAGGCTGTTGTTTTGTTCTGATGACAGTGTCCTTTGCTTTACAGAAAACTGTTCAGTTTCATCAACTTATTTGATTGTTGATCTTAGAGCCTGTGCTGTTTTTGTTCTGTTCAGCAAGTTGTCTCCTGTGCCAATGAGGTCAAGACTCTTTCCCACTTTTTCTTCTAACAGATTTAGTATGTCTGGTTTTATGTTAAGGTCTTTGATCCACTTGGACTTTGCTTTTGTGCAGGGTGATAAGTATGACTCTATTTGCATTTTTCTACCTGTAGACATCCAGTTAGACGAGCACCATTTATTGAAGATGCTATCTTTTTTTCCATTGTATGGTTTGGGCTTCTTTGTCAAAAGTCAAGTGTCTGTAGGTGTATGAGTTTATTTCTGGATCTTTGATTCGATTCTGGATTCTGTTAATCCACCTTTCTGTTTCTGTGCCAGTACCATGCAGTTTTTATTACTGTTGCTCTATAGTACAGCTTGAGATCAGGGGTGGAGATCTCTCCAGAAGATCTTTTCTTGTAGAGGACTGTTTTAGCTATTCTGGGTTTCTTGTTGTTCCATCTGAAGGTGAGAATTGTTCTTTCCAGGTCTGTAAGACTTGAGCTGGTATTTGATGGGAACGGCATTGAATCCGTAGATTGCTTTGGAGGATGGCCATGCAGAGAAATGTTTCTTCTTAGTTGTGTAGAGGGGGCAGTGCATACACATAAGTGCAGGTGCCTTCAGTGGCCGGAGGTGAAGGGTTCAGGGATTGGAAATACAGTCAGTTGTGAGCTG